ATTATATATATATATATATATAAACAAATAAATTTTATCTGTTTTAAAAAATTAAAAATTATTTATATTTCTTGAAGATTATGGAAGAAGATTCATTACCAAAAGTTGTATGCCATGAATGCGTCAAAAAGGTAGAAAATTACATAGAATTTCGAGAAGCTGTTGTCAATGCTGAGGGTATGTTGGAATCTTATTTCACTTCACTTCGTTTTTCTGAGGAATTTCTGAAAGAAGGAAAAGTTTATGTAAAGAATACTGAAAAAGAAAGATCGTCTACACCAGAGGACGAAGTTCTAAAGTTAATGGATAAACCAATACTAATGGGAGGTCAAATAATAAGTAATCAACAAACAATAGATCAAATACATCAGCAACCTGTCGTAGTTAGCAATATAAATGCTTCTAATATACAAATTATTAGTGGTGTTCAAGCAAGGGTACAACAATACAAATGTGCTATGCAGGTCTGTAATGAATAAGTAAAACTCTATATTAAATATAACAAAATTTTTAGAAATATACATAAAGAATAATAAAATATTTTTCTTGGGTTTAGATGCAACCGGATGGTATGGCAGCAGCTGTTGTTGAAGCTACAGCAGAGACTCATTATAGTTATCAACAACAAACTTCTCAAGTATCACAACAATCAAACGAAGCACAAAATCAAATCAGTGATCAACAAAATCAATCTCCTGTAATTCAGACACAAACTCAAAATCAAGATACAGTACAGAATCATACAGATTCCAAGTACGAAGTACAGAATCATAACCAAATAAATCAGCAAGTACAATCCCAAAGAGCAATGTCTCAGCAATTGAGTCAATCTGTACAGTTATCTCAACAGGTCCAACAGCAAAGTCAAAGTCAAAGTCAAATCAGTCAACAAGTAGAAAATCCATCACAAATATCACAGCAGCTTCAACAATTACAGAGGCAACAGCGTGAATTTGAAAAGCAGCATAGACAACTTCAACTTGAGAAACAAGTGCAAATTATAACACAACACGAGTTTTCAGTAAAACAAGAGACACCAGTTGTACATCAAAATAATAATATAGTTTTCAAAACTGAAGCAGATATAGAACCGAATCAACAAATCATACAAAAGATACAATCTGAAACTCAAAAAGATGAATCTCCTAACTTAACTGTACAAACTTATACTACAGTACAAGCAACGCCAGAAGTATTTCTAAATTTAGGTTTCAAAGAGACTTCATTAATGACGATTCGAGACGACAAAGATTATAAAGAATTGACAAAAACATCTGATGATGGAATGTCTCGTAATTCAATTGAACAGATCAGAGAATTTCTCAGGCTTAGGTCAGGATCGGAGCCAACTTCTTTAATCCCTGCGAATTCTCAAGGACTTTCACAGGGTGGGAGAAACACTATTTGTCGCGATTGTGGTAAAAATTTTCCTTCATTCTATCAAATGAGCAATCATAATTGTAACGTAGAGACACTTGTAAGCGAACCATCGGATCCTGGAAGTAAGGATGATATCTTACAAACTAGTGTTAATTCCTTTCATTGTGACATTTGTAATAAGTATTTTAAACGGAAAGAGCACCTTTTCCAACATCGAAAATTACATACTGGTGAGCGACCGTATGCGTGCACGACATGTTCAAAAGCATTCAGTCGTAAGGAACATTTAGTTAGACATGCGGTTTCTCATACTGGACAGAAAATGCATGAATGTGAAATGTGTGGTAAAAGTTTTTCGCGTAAGGATAATCTACACAAACATCGAAAAACGCATGGTGTATCTGGCCCTTATGTTTGTGAAACTTGCGGAAAGTCATTCGTTGTAAAACATTATTATATGATGCATTTAACTACTCATGCGGTAGCTGTCATAGACGGTATAAATTGTTCTGATCCATTTCCATATAAATGCGACTTATGCCACAAAGCATTTTCAGTAAAACAGTATCTTACTACACATAGACTTAGGCATAGATCAAAAAATAATAATTCTGCACAAAATAATTTAAACGGGCATCAACAACAATCAAATTCCACAAATGATGTGAATGTAGTGACAAATAATGTTAGTAATACTGGAAATTTAAATAATAATGGGCAAGCTAGCAATGAATCGACTGTTGAAATGCAAAGCGTTATTGAACGGAACGAACAAGTTAATAGTTCATTTACTAACAGTCAGTATCATACTGATATGCAAGAGTTTTAATGAGATAAAGAAAAGCGTGTCTATTATGTTCTCCTACCAAATGGTAACAATCATAAAATCATGATTGTATAAGCAAGAGAAACTTCGTGACGCGCTGAAATATTTTTTTATGATTTTGTTCTCTTGAACGAAGAACGTGGTATTTGTACTTTAATATATAACTATAGGAATGAAATCAAAATGATTATTCTAACAAATTAGATATTTTTTGATGTACACACATCGGACAGAAAGTAGATCTTGAATTCACTGGATATAATGATATATTTTGCCAACCAACTATATGGAATGTATACTGTAGTTGTTAAATAAGTGCTCATTCGGATCTAATATTTGAAAGATATGTGTTATACTATATGTTATTAAGAGGTTGCTAGAGTGACGGCTGAATTTGATGTCAATAATACAGACTCTTTAGTTCTAAATTATAAAAAATGTTGATAATATACATCTTTAATTCATTTCTTACATTATTGTTCTGTCTCACTCAAATACGTCCTTATCTAACATATATTACAGCGCAATCTTTTACAAGATCCGGCACTTACTGTTAGACACGATTATTGTTCTATTTGCCATTTTAAATCTTCGCTAAGCATATGTATACACATATATTGCAGTTGAATATAAAGCCTAATCCACAATGTGTTTTTTGCTTCCTGTTTCTTGTTTTTTATCTTGTGCTTTTTCATTTTTTACAATCGTTTTATCGACAATCGCATTTCTTTTCACATGTTTCTTGTCTCTTCCAAAGTTGGTCAACTTTTTAGCTTCTCCAGAGACAGAAAACGAAGAAACTGAGTAAAACAAGAAATAAAAAAGCAGTAAAAGCAAGATACAGAAAGTAAAGAACACATTGTAAATTAAGCTTGAATCTTTTTTGTTAAGCTTTCAATTTTAATTCTATAAAGTTAGAATTGTTTATTCACGTAATCCAACGGGTGGTGCAATGTTATTTTATTCATATAAGCTATAGAACTTATATATTAAGGAACCTATGTCAGGTGACAGCTTTAAAAGTTTAAAAATTTAAGTTTTTAATTTTTTTTTCTGATCTTAAGTCCACCGGCCTACCTCTTAATTCTGCGTTTATTTCAATTCTGTAAAAAGAGATTTTTATTCTGTTCAATCAATTCTGAGATTTTTATATGGATGTAATGTATCAATAATTTCGTGACTCCATTCCCTCAATACAATACCTCTATACTTGTATACAATATTCTGTATATGAGTATTTCCATATTTAGATACACAACAAATGCAATGATTGTAGAAATTCAAGGTCATTCGTGGTTACATATATAAAAAAGTTGAAAAAAAATGCATCATCCTTCTCAAATGCGCGCCAACAAACATTAGTATATATTCTAATTTGTTCATCGAAAGAACCAAAATAATGATGAATAATTTTGCAAGATGTAATATGCCGTGTTATTAAAATCACAAATTAGTTTGAACTTATGAATCTTGCCAGTACAACGAAGTAATTGTAAAATTTGATCTATTAACTAGCACATATTGAAGTAATTAAGGTTTACATTTACAGAAACATGTGAAATAAGTTATTGAGAGAGAGAGAGAGAGAGAGAGAGAGATATGTTAAACTTTGAAGCAAGAAAAAAGATAGAAATACAGAAAATGTGAGATATAGGTATATTTAATTTAAAATAAATTAAATAGGTATATTAAGATTTCGATTTGTGAAGGCAGTAATATCTAAAATATGAAAAGAAATGTAATTTTGTATCTGATCAATGATTGACAAAGCATAACATTCTCAATATTGAATCAATTTAATATAAATAATATATTTCATTGTATTAGCATAATTCTATATGTGATATTTAAACTGAATTGTGATTTTAATTTAGCATTTTAAAAATAATATTTTAAAAATAAGTTTTGTTTTTTTAACAATGTACATATATTCGAAAACATAATCATATTGTTATAGTCATGAGATTGTTCCAGTTTCTGACAAAAATTGTCATAGACCTAGTTTACACCCAGCTGTTCAATCCCGATTGACTTCGAAGAGAAGTGGATTTATGAAATGTTTACACCGGATTCGCTATCCTACTCCGTTAGAGAAAAGAGGATTGAAATCAGTCGAAACTAATCCGTTTACACCCAAGAAATTTCAGTTCACTTCAAAGTGAATCGGAATTGGACGGCTGGGTGTAAACTAGGTCATAGATGTATTGTTAGTAACATATAAAAAGATTTCAATTAAAAAAAAATAGATTTTTAATCTTAAAATTTAAATATTATTGATTCATGATACTTCAAATTTTGAATTTTCAAATATTTATATTGCATATAAAAATTTTCCTTTAGAACAGCTGTGTATATATCAAATCTATATCTATTAGAATATAGTAACTGCAACAATCTCTGATTATTTTAAAAAAGATGTTCCAGAAATATATAATTTTTATGTATACCTAGATATAGAACAAAGTCAGACCAAAGAAATTTATATTATGTTTATATATAATATATATACACATACAGAGTGTCCCATTTAATTAATCCAGTCAATTTTCTCTGAAATTATTGATGACGCAACAAAATATTTCAGATGAAAATGGAACGATTTTGAAGGGGATGTATTTTGATTACGTTGATTTTTTTCAGTTGGAGATACTAAAAAGATATGAAAGTCGCTTCCACTTTAAATGGAACTATCCATTTTTAAATACCTACGTGTAGTCCATCTCAGAACAAATACATGCATTGGCTATGTTCAGCAGACTCAACAATAGAATGTGTGCTTTTTACTATTGATGTATTATTTTAAATCTAAAATCTGATTGGATGATCTAAGAGAATACATCAAAAACAGCGAACGCTCACTCAATTGTTGAGTCTGCTGAACGCAGCCAATCAGTACTATGACCGTTCAGTAAGCTCTTGTATCTGTTTGATCTATATTTTTATATTTTTAGATCTAATAGAATACGTCAATCAGATGCAAGAGTTCATTGAGTAGTGTAATACTAAATGCACTTATTAGCCACGTTCAGCAGACTCAACTGTTGTGGAATGGATACACCAATAGCAACGAACACTCATTCCATTGTTGAGTCTGTTGAACGCAGCCAATAATCATAGACTGCGTTTAGCAGAGAAAATTAATCAGTCACCGTTTAGTTTTTTTTTAATATGATTGATTCTTGCTTTTAATTTTTTGCTGGATCCAAGTGTAGAAACCAATCGTAAAAGATCACTAACTGATTAATTTTCCCTACTGAAACTATAGAAATTAAAGATTATTGAAGGTCACAGATATAAAACGAAAGGTGCAAAATAAAAGTTTATCGTCCAGTCTCAAATGTGCGTTTACGAGACGAGCGCTAGTATGTATCATGATGTAAGTATACTAGATGTACCGTTCCCGTAGATGCGCAGTCGTTCAAATAATGGCCACTCTTGAATCAATCAGAAATTTGCCTCAAATTTGAAAAAAAAAAAAAAAACAATATGGCTACCTCTATAAACAGTGTTTTGGTGTATTTCACCAACTTTTACCGGCGTGATCAATATACATATGTGCAATATTTATCTGACTTTATATTTATTTAATCTTTTTTCATATTGCTCATAACTGCATTTTTTCCAGTACTCATTAATTTTTTATTTTCTTGCATCTAAAATTTTATTATGCTATTAATCTTATTTTACATTGTTTTTAAGGCCCTGGGTGTATGTGTCCATGGTGCTAAAATTCGATCCGAATTCTCGTGTAACCAATCAACTTATCATCTTACCGTAAAGACTATACATATTGATTGACTATACATTCCTGAATCTAAGAACTCGACCGAATTCTAGCACCATGGTCACAGGACGTAATAATATAGGCTAGTTTTTTTTTTTTACAATCCTTGCTTTTTTTTATCCTTGCTTTATCTACATATGTTATCTGTATCTACACATACTTACCTATATCTATTTTTTATTTGTGTGAGTTTAACTTCAGGGAGTCAATTGCGTATTTTGCCTCTCGTTCTTTCCTCTTACATGATAAAAATGCGCACGATTGGTTATGAGCATAGTGAAAATGCGATATCCCTAGTTTCACAAGAGTGAATGCGATTATACTGTTAATATTGGGTGCCTTCCAACAAGCGACACAGATGACACGGTGTGACACAGTGTATCAGTACATCTTTGTTGTTCGCCAATGTTAAACAAGGATGAGATAATCACACTGTGTTGTACTATGTCGCTTATTGGAAGGCACACATTATGTTTAATTATCATTTTGACAATTTTTCAAAAAGCTAAAATAAATCTAATATTTTATATTAACGTAAAAAAGATGGAAAAAAGGCTAAAACAGATTTTTTATTAAATTGTTTGTTATATAATATTCTATACCTTGTATTTATCTCATGTATTATTTTTTTTTTATTAAAACTGAAATTTAATTATTATTATTATAATAAGTCAAAGAGGAAGGCTTTTTGTACGTTTAAGAAGTTTTAAGATAAAGAAAACTTCTCGTTTAGTTAATTATTAGAAACATAAGTTCATATTTCAACATTTCTCATTCAGTTTTATACTGTAATATGGACTGCATTAAAAATTGAAATTAAAATACTGTGATCGAAAAAACTTAATATTTAATTACACTACAATTACAATTAATATCTGTGATTGACTCTTCCGTAATGTTTTCTATACTCCTCTCTCTCATATGTTAATTCGTAGCAGTTTATGCTAATTTATTAAAGTATCAGACAAAACCTTAAAATGTTTGTTAAAATATCTTTATAACTGTTTACTCTTGAGCACTTTTCATAAAGATTTTGATATAAAAATCAATAATCAGGTTATACGGAAAGAAGGATATTAAAGATAAGGATTGAAAAATATCTCAAATTCTAATAATCTCGTATAATCTCATTCTCTATTTGTTTTATTCTGTTTCAATTTAAATAGTAATATTGTATAATAAATATAACTATACATTATAACAAATAGATATAATATAT